GACGCGCGTGTAGTGTATGTAGCTTCTACTGTAGTGGGCGGATAAAGATGACGAATGATCAACTTGAGCACCTGCTGTTGTGCATTTGGTATCGAGCTCAGTTCTCCTGAAGTTATGTATGAATCTTAAGCTCTCCCATAATCGTCAAATACAGCTCCTGTCGCACTGTACATTGCCTCTGACTTAGGGCAAGGAGAGAGACGCTGCCGTTGAAAGCTATGCATGGACGCCTTCAAACACGGCCCAGAGCTCACTTCTCCACGCGCTTTCGCATGTCGCATCCACTCCGTATGTTTCTTGCAATGTACCTTGCAAACGGGTCGCCATGGCGATCTCCGGCAGGTTTTGTCTTTTTCAACGGGAAGAAGATCCGCTTTTGGAAAGCAACGTACAGTGTGAGCGCGACTGTGAGCTTTGGCGTCCGCACAGTGCCACAGGGATCAGAGCCGAATCGTATGCCTCTGGTAGTAACGAAGGTCAGCTGATCTAACTTGACTTCTGCGAGATAAGGCGAGATTTTTACTGCGACGACTTGCTGGCTGGAGACCGAGCGGCCGATCTGTTCATCGCCGGCGGTCATTGTGGCCCATCAGAGTCGCGGGTATGTTCTGCTTCTGATCCGACAGAAAGAGCCTAATAACTCTCCATATCGTGGCGTCAACCGGGCAGCCACTTTTCCTACAGCAGGAATCTGCACCAAAAGTCACAAAGAGGCGTTTGAAGCAGTGAACAAATCGGTCATTGTAATTTTGACTGGGTTGCGGAAAGCAAATTGTGGATGCTTGGCGTCCTCAGCTGCTGACGTGTGAGGAAGGGTCGTTCCGAACTTGGCCAGAGGCGGGTCCTGCACGACCTTCGGGTATTTGCGCCGTCATAACACATGCAGCCGCCGTCCTCGGAGCAGTCCTCGGAGCAAAATGCGTGCTCCTTATACGATTCTTTTTACTGGGGAGACAAAATCTTTCACTATTGACAAATGCAAGGTTCCCCGCCTTTTCACAGAAGAACAGACTCAGAGTGTCGAAGTAGACTGACATGCTGCAGCCACCACAATCATGCGACGACTGCAGAGCGTGTACTTCCCAATCCTACTCGCATGCGTTACTCTCAGCATGACCGCCATGACCGTGCTATCAAAAGCCCCTCCGACGAACACGTCAATGACGGCTGCATTTGCAGGCTTCTTTCTCTCTGCATCTGCGATCACAACACCCTTCATCGCAATCATCACAGTCATGCTCTCGTTCGCATCTGGTGGCACTGGCGATTCCCCTAGCTCTGGTCGAGTCATTGCATGGATCCCGGTTTTTCTCCTAGATTGTGCGTTCGTTCAGCTGATTATCGGAGCGGCTTTGTTTTTTGCGGAAACAC